AGTCCTTCTCCTCAGGGCTTTTCCTCCTCCATTCAGGTTTCCCTAGCCCTTGGTTTTAGCTGTTAATTACTTTCCTGTTCCTGTGATTTGTCCCTTAGATGCTGACTATTGTGCCTTCTTCATCGATGTGATCCAGAAGTGTCTTTTGTGTTTGCACCCTAAGAATTTTGGGATTGGAAGAACTGAAAATAAACATTAAATGAAAGCAGATAAATTGGACACAGAGATCAGGCAGGTGCTATTTGCAGCAAAGGGAAAAGATCCTTTCTTAGTACCTTTCAGTCATTACTTTACTATTCCACTATTGTTATTCTTCGAGATTATAGAGATGGTTATTATAAGAAGCTTAGACTTCTAAATTCAGGTCACATCGTTTCTCTATAATGAACAGAATGTTTTGTTAACATAGGTTTCCTGTTTTCTACACCTCTATGAAGATATTAAGCAGCTTTTGCCCAGCTAGATAGTACACTTCCCTGTCCTGTTCTGAATTTGTTGGTAACAGTGAATTTTTCTTTGGACGTTCACACCATCTTTAGAGGTTTCTCCAAAGAAAGGTTTTCTCATGTCTGTGTAGGCTGATGCATTGGCACAACTGTTGAATCCCCAAGGCAAATAATATGAATAAAGTCTGCTTGTTATCTTAAAAATAGCAAAGCTCTGGAAATGTTTCTACAGCACATTAGCAATTTCTGGCACAAAAAATAAAAAGTAAGCAGGAAGCAAAAGCAGTAAAACGAGCAGCTGCATAAAGCAGTAATATTCACTCACAGAGACAGTAAGCAATATTTTTCATTTCTGTAAACATTTCATGCTGCTCCCATGCTCCTGGACTGTGCTGTAGCTCTGTGTCAAGCTGCAATAGCTGCTAACAAACCTGGAAAAGGACAACTTCTGTGAACATAAAAATCACTTCCACACAGAGCCACATTTTCTTAGCAGAGTTTATTGTTGCACTTCAGATACCATGCCACTATCAGAATAATAGCTATTTTTCATTTTAAAAAACTTGGAGAAAAATGTTTCCAGCAATTTTCATTCAATGTGAATGACAAGAGTATTACATCTATAAACACTGAAATATCTATTTAATTTCTTCCTGAGGAAGTTTCACATTTTTAAGCAATGAAAAAGGACATTCTGTACAAGATAGTCTGCAAATCATTGAAACTAGTTCTTTCTGCACAAGTAGAACTGGGAAAATATCACAGTATTTTCAGGAATGTTTGCTCAAATATTTAAGTGATTTCGTATCTGGCTCTGTGTCTCCACCCCCCCTAACAGTCACCTTCTGCTCATAATCACACACTGATTTCTGATGGCAAGGATGTCTGCAGAAGGCAAATTTCAGAATCATATTGATGAAAATAAAGGTGAAGCTCACATAATCAAGGAGTTGCTAAAGAAATTGCTTGTGCAGTTATCTACCAGGGGAACAGAAACTATGGCTGTGTTACCAACTGCAATAGAACATCTGACTTTGGCTAGCAAATACAAATTCACTGTAATGAATCAGTATTTTTTAAGAGTGTTAATACTGATAGCCTATTTCTGGAAATCAAACACTGATTGTAGGCAAGCTGTGACAGAAGAGGTTAAACTTAGATAATTCATTGTGATTTATGTCATGAATGACTCGCTTACTCAGCTGTACTCATGTGCATCCTCTGATCTGGGGAACAACACATCTCGCTGTTGTCTGCATGCTTTGCTCAGACCATTCTTCAAGCTGACAGCACATTAAGTCATTCTGTTATTTAAAGTCCCCTATTAAATGCAAGAACATATTTAAATAGAATAGTCTGGGGGAAAAAGTGTGGTGTCATGCCAGCTTTGTATAAGCAAGTTATAAGCAAACATCAAAAATTCAGAACTGCAAAGAGCATCACGAGTTTGCCTTTACCTCTCTCTTGCTTTTGTGTCCAGGCTAGCCCTAGTGAACAAGCAGCTAATCCCAAAGCACCTTTTCCAGAGATGCTAGTGCTTAACAGCTGCATCTCAACAGGAGCTTTGACTTACGCCAAGTCAAGATCACGCACTTTCAGGTGCAAGTTCCAGGACCAAAAGGCTGAGCTACTTTGTTCATAGTACTGACTCAGGTAAAGCTACCACAGGAATCCACTGAAGACATCCCCAGGAACGCATTCATTCTGCTCCCAGCTCCCTCCTTAGGAAGGGCACTGGGACAACAGGAGAGCTCCACCCTGCTGTTCCTCATCAGGACTTGAGTCACCATGGCACTCCTTCCCGGAGGCTGAGCTTTGTGTTTCACTGCCAAACCAAGCCTAGTCCCCCCAAGGCCAAGGCCGGGCATGCGTGGGGTTATCCTCCCAGTGCGGCACAGTGACTGCTGTGGGGCTGTTTCACCAGATCCCCAACAACTCGGGGGGCTCTCTGCTGTACCTCAGAGAAGACTTCACAGAAGTAGTTCACAGATCTGAGACAGGCCACCTTGCTGGCTGAAAAACTTCTGGAGGGACAATGCGACCGATGTGCATGTCCCTGTCAGCACTGTCCTTGACTGCCCACTCACTCTCATCCTGCGGGGGCCTTGATTTCCCAGAGAGAGACTGGAAGGGAGTTCTTGAAAACAAAGAATGAACTATGAATGTGGCTGACACCCATTCTTCCTGCACGGAGGAGGCACTCAAGTTACGTGCAGAGTGTCCTCTCACCACGAAAATTTCAGGCACGATAGTGCCCAGGGTCTTTCCTATTTTCTTCTATTTTATAATTGCTGCACCGAGGAACACAGAGTAACTGAGGCAGCAGTGCACAAAACAGGAGCTTTGCACAATCCCTGCAGATTTTTAAAAATGTTTGAGTGATGCTACATCAGATTACATCAAAGGTAAGATCAATCATGCCAGGATGAAAACCCCAGGTATTTTCTCCAGTTATTCAATTTAGTTGTTACAAATTCATACAGACGCTTGCAGGATGCATGAGCTGTCCATAGCATGCAGAGTATTTGCTTTTACAGATGTTCACAATCCAGAGTGTTTCTTTTATCAAATAAGAAGCATTCTAAGACAAGTCAGCTTTTGGGATGAATCCATATGTCAGTGAATATATAAAGCGAAATGAAAATTCTCATTCTGTCTAATAAATAATGAAGATGTTCATCTTAAAAAATGTCTACTCTAGTAGGTCCTCATCATTAATCATGCATATTCCCTTAGCAAAAATGTGCTGCGTAAAGAATATTGTTATATACAGCAAATTTGTCTATATTTTTTTCTTTACAGGCCTATCAAAACCAAGTATTACATAGACAAAATCAATAAATAAAGATTACCAGTTAGAGGGACAGTAAGGATCTCAACATCGGTTTTCTATTTAGGGAATAACAGACTGGTTTCCATTCCATTACCTTGAAAGTTAAATTATATGATTACATTGATGTCATAAAACAGCACTGAGACATACAGTTTTTCCACCATTTGATGCATGTTTTTAACTATTCACCCTAAACCGAATTAAGGTAACATTACAGAGCTGCTATAAAAGGCATTGCACTTAGTGCTGTCGTTCTCTTTTGTTTTCCCTACCTCTTCATGCCTTTAGAAACACTGAGAGCCAAAGTTCAGTAGAGAAACATTAAAGCCATACTCAGCTGAAGTTTTCCTTGATCATCTTTCTCAACTTTTAAGTATCGTTAATTAGAATTTATCTCACATCTGAACTGATGCGTTGCGAGCTATAGCACTGAAATGTATCACATCAACATAAGGCTGGATATCTGTATTTTCCATGATTAGAGTGTAATTTTCTACCATGATTACACAATGTGGGGTTTTTTTCTCCCCTAAAGCTTACTCCTAGTATTTAATACCAAACAGGTTTAAAATGACTGGAACCAGAGCCAGTATTTTCACCTGGAAATCTTAGATTTTTGCAGCTGACATAAAGTGAAGGTTACTGAAAGATGCTAATGATTTTGATCAGGTTGGGGGATCTTGGAATACACAAAGCATAGATTGATGGCAAATAAATTCAGGAAAAAATAGTGGTGCAAATTCAGGCAACCCAAGTATGGATCTGTTTCTGCTCTTCATTACTTTTTCATTCCTTTCAGTGGAGTCACACCTGATTCACAGCAATGTAAGCCCAGCGTGCAGTAGCTGGATCCGGCTGCCCGCAGAAGCCCGGAGTGAAAGCCTGTTCTTTGCACTGCTTCAGTCTGGATCACAGGTGTTATACTGCTCATAAGGATTATACTGCAACATTTGTGCTTCGCATGTCCAATTAGATTTCTGTTCAGATAACGGCTATATTCTGTATTTTGCCACTTTAGTCAGTACAAAATCAGACACAGTAATTACGGACAAAGGCCCTTACCCCAAGGGTTTGTTGTTACACGCTATAATCACAGGCGGTGTTTTATACGTCTGTTTTTTCTACATTCCTTTTGCCTGTGGCTTCCAGATTTTGTTCTGTGTATTGTTTTGCTGTGCACAGCTAAATCATATATGGTAACTGTACTTCTCACCCTTGTTAGTATATACTTTGGGTATTGGCAAACTGATTCCAAAGGCAGAAGTACAATTGGCATTTTGGTCCTACATTAAGTTTTCCTACTTTATGCAAGACAATACTCAAATAGTAAGAAAAACTGTCAGCAGTCTAACAATGGGCTACAAAACCTACATGAGACACAATACTTTTAACTGATATACAAAAATGTAAATATTTACCATGGAATTGGACAGGTCATGTATCTCTGAAGCTTATACCAGTTGCAAATAACTTCCACATAGGTGCACAGTTGTCCACAAGTCCACAGGCCCAGAAATGTTTATGAGAAAGATCAGTCCCATCAGAGCTCTAAGAAACACATGTATTTTCACATCCACATGCCAGCATATGGAAATAATTTCTATCTTTTGCTCTTTTTGGAAGAGGTATATTTTACAAGACCTTCTGGTAGCTACTGGAGACTTTAGGTATGTTGACTGAAGTGTGGAAGGGAGATTTCAAACAGCCTTTTTTCAATGCTATCTTACTTTCTGTAGCTCCTGTCTCAGCCACGATGGCAGGGGTTGTCCCAGTTTGTGTAGGAGTTTTGACAGTTCCACATTGTGATCTCTGTAGTAGCTTGACAGAAAAGCCCTGCACTGGTGGATACAAAAGGACGTATTTTTATTTAATGAAATGCTGTACTGCAGTTGCTGTGAATTCTAGGTTTCAAAGTTTGTTTTACCTGTGTCAAAACTTTACTTTTTTTTATGCAATTTAGATTGGTTTATGCTACTGCATGCAAGTTTAAGCTCTTCAGTTAGGAGCTGAACTGTAAAAGGTAATTTCAAGAGAAACAAAGGTTGTACGAAATGAACACTGAAGCCAAAGCAAGGGATCTGAGATTCCACTCGGTCACGTAAATTAAGAATCGCAGCAAAGCTGATTCCATTACTTTGAATTTACTGAAGTGTGATTGAAACCAAAGCTTCTAAAATGTCTTTGTATGTAAGCACGTATGTAACCCCATTTTCAAAAGTATTCAGAGTTGAAAAATCAACAGTAACCCAATGATTTTAGAGCAGTATGATTCTATTGATGTAAAGTTAATTATAATTTACTGTGAGAAAGAAAACCCAGCTTACTTGCCACATTAATCGCTCTTCAAGCTGGGAGTTTTTATTTGCCTTTTAGTCAGGCTAAATGAAATGGGAATGCAGGGCAGAATAAACATAAGTTACAGCTAGAATGGGAGACTAAACTGCCCTTGGGTACAGGCTGCAGCACTTGATCTGACGGAAGTTTCTTCGTTTGAGCATTTGTCTGGGGAAGGTCTTCATAAAACTCATAGAAACAGAACATAACTGGTCTTAAAACTAGATTATACGAGAGTCTGCATGACTTGTCATGGTCAACTCCTGTCAAAGACAAGGCACCAGAAACAACTACACATATATGATCGTGACTGAGAAAAAAACATGCACTGTGGAGCCCCTGCTGCTTAAGTCACTCAGGTAAAGGGAACAGGTTTCCAAGTGAATTTCAGGGGTGTCAAGTTTATTTTTCTAAGGGGTGCCAAGTTTTAAAAGTTGTTTTTTTAATGACTTAAATTCTTCACATTTGAAATGAAGAACCAAAAAAGTCTGTGCACTCCACAGCTATCTCAAATGTTTCATTTTTGAAAGGTAGTCAAATAATTAACGTCTACTTAATTTTATCTTCTCTCCCTTCTTGTGGTTTTGGCAGTGTGGTGTCCCATGTGTGGCAACTGAATCCCTGTATAATGCAATGAGCATGATGGTTTACCTCAGAATCCATAGGAGGGTATTTTCTACCTTTGCTTTTTCCAAGACACTTTGTTTTTCCTTCTTCCAGGAGCTGACACCAAAAACCTTTATGTGAATCAAACCTGAAACAAATATTTTGCAGTGTTAAGGCTGTGAGATACTGCAAGGAGGATGCACCTCCCAAGTTTAGACTGAAGTCTCAGAAGAGTAAACCTAAGGTTGTCAGTCTTATTTTAACAGTAACCAAATCTAAATGTCAGAATCCAAAGGATTTGTGTACAGCTGTATTTATGATGTACAGAGTGGGTGTTACCTTCCTGACTGATACCACTGAATCTGTCTTGCAGCTAATCTCAAAAATAAACTAACTGTCTTTCCTCTCTGTTTATGCATGTCAGCATTCCACGTTCCACTTATGGAAATAAAACTCCTTCCAATTAATCCAAAATTCATATGCAATTCTCACACAGCAACACCTACTATGTCTGTTTGTCAGAGTCTACTTCTGTAACCATCCAGCTCCACACTGAGTGGCTCAGATGATGATTCAAGGAAAATCTAACCCTGAACTGTGTTCTTTGCAGGCACTGAAGGATACATCCTACTGACAGCTCAAAGAAGAAGTATGAGAGGCTTTATTTTGCAGTGAGCTTACTTACAGACTAACTGGTATTTCAGGAATGTAGGAACATGTGAAAATGATGATGAAATTAACTCACGTCAGGGCTTCAGAGTAATTATAATGAGGAGAGACTCCCAGAAATTTCTGTACTTCATCCATTACGGTAGAGGGGTCAGTTCTCAGCTGCTGTCCATCAATAATTAGCAACTACAACAAATAAAATAAATGGAAGTTTAATTTCAAGTTCATTATTTCAAGCTTCAGACTAGAAGTTCCACCTCTGTCAAACTTAATCATCCTATGGAGAGTGCTGCCCCAGAGAATGAGAACTGGTCCAGTTTTCCTTGTCATCATCATTAATGACCTGGGAGCAGGGTAAATGGCATGTTAATTAAATCTGAAATGATATTAAATTGGAAGCTTTTGTGACAACAGAGAAATAGCAGTGAAGGATCGAGACATGAAATATTGGCAGGAAACTGAGTGAGATTTGTCCAGCCAAGAAAAATGGTATTAATGTTTAGAGAAATAGCCTATAATTCTCATAGACACAAACATATACATATATATGTTAGAGTAACATTGAAAAGTTTGTCATTGGAAATGACCTGAAAGACAGAAACTATGTGTTTCCGTAGGTGAAACAGCTTACTTCCAAACCCATACAACACTACAGAACTGTATTAAGAAACCTTCTTCAAGAACATGAACAAAGGCAGATGTTACGGCAATCTTAAGGTAGGGATGCAGATAGATTGCGGTTCAGTCACCACGACACAGAACCAAAACGTGTAATGCATCTCTAAGTAAGCCAGGTACTGGTAGGTAATCTCTTTTTCTTCTTTTTGAGTGCTTGACTATATACACACTCACAGTGGCCACTTCAGTCAGGGCCACCCTGAAGGTGGAGCTTCAGGGAAACAGACACTAGCCAAGAATTTTATCAAATGTGCTATCACGCCCAAATGACCCGCTGATAGTGCAGCAAGTTTGGGTCTTTGTGACTGCTGGAAGAGAAGCAAGGTCACAAATGGATTAGTGAAGCATTCGTGTCTCATCCTGGAAACAACTCTCCTCTTTCCATCATGCTTTAGTGATGAAAAGGAGAGGGGAAATAGATTTGCAGATGAGTCAACAATCTCCCTCTGCAAACAGTGCTGAAGCTTTTTTTTAAATTTCCATGCAAGCAGAGAGGCTAAAATCATAAGAATTGCTTCCAGGATTGGATGAAACGTAGAGGTTTTCAAGACTATGAGGTTTCAGAGCATAATCAAAAGGGAGGAAATGTGTTTTCTTTTGAAAGATCAGTCTTTGGAATTGCCCATATACGGCATGTGCATTGGGAGATGTGGATTAGGGGAAGTGTCAGGCTGTTCAGAAAGCAGTAGCTCATTCCCGAAGTCCTTGCAATCAGATGCACGATGACTGCCTAAGTCCAAAAATAAACTCACTGCTTTCCTAAGACAGGTTTGAAAACAGACCTTAAGTGCTTCGCAGCACAGAGGTCAAAAACCATCCTAAATGTGGGATATTTCCATCTGAAAGGAGTGAGGTGTTTGTTCTTCACTATTTAAAAAACACACGGAGATAAATATCTGTGCATTTCCCACTTCTGCCACCCCAAAAGAGTCATGTAAGAAAAAGTTTTATCAGTGGAAATTCATTCTAATTCCTGACATTCCCAGGGAGCAGGTAACAAAAAATGCTCTCTCTCTACCTTCAGGGTGGTTGTAAGAAACTGAGGAAAAGATTTTTTCTTATTTGTACTGATCTATTCATGTCCTGATCTCAGGAAGATATAATTTCATGAAGTTCCTCAAAAACTAAGGCATTTCATGTATGGCAAGGTGGAAAAATTAAATGGTGTCATTTTTACAAAGTAGATGGCTTCACATATAATGAAAATACTACAGATGAAGTATTTGGAGTCGCTTTACAGCGTATTGATCATTTTACTGCAATATTGCTGACAGCTGAAGAGATTAAGTCCCTGCTCTCCCACTATACATGAGTTATTTTGTGTCTAAAAGTCGCTATGGTGGGAGCAGAGCTCAAAGAGAACAGCTTAGGAACAGCCCGAATCCTTCAGCTTCAGACTGACCATTTAAGGATGGCTGTTGGAAAATCAGCTTGATTTCCTACAGGGCTTGAGCATGAGCTTATCTTTTGGGAGTTTGTCATGCTAGGTCCTCTTTTCTTCTGTATGACTGCACTGAAGCGATGAGTTGCAGGCAGGCAATTAAGAGACATGAGCTTCCAAAGCTCTAGAGATCTGTCCTGGTAGCCAGACAAAAGAGGACTTTTTGCATGACTTAGAATAAATTAAGTCAATCAAAATTCTAAACTTCTGAACCCCACATTTACAAAGTACTCTGAGATTTTCAAATTCTTGCCATGTAAGACAAGTGTGCTGTTACCACTTTTCTAATGAAAAGGGGAACCTTAACTCTTGCTTTTGCCACTTCTACCACTTACTGTATGCCTGCTGCCTTCTTAATGGACATTAAGGCTTCAATTCAGTCACATGTGTGGAGACCTCCAGATTTACACAGCATTAAAAATGATAGATAGCCTTAGCTAGTCTGGGTGAGACCTCTTTCGGTGAAGGAAGGCTCTCATTTTTTAAGATAAGGCCATACTTTCAAGCTGAGCTGATTTTAGGTCTGACATGTACTGTTTTGTGCTTCAGCAGTACCTTGAACTTGCTAACTAGTTTGGATATGGCCTACTGTGTATCGTTGCTTTTCCAATGCAAGTTAATCCCTCGTCCGTTACGGAGAAAACATAAGGCTACCAGGGCTCATTCTACACAATCACTGTGGGATGTAAAATCCAGCGTAAAATCTGTATGACCATGCATATTGTCCAATATTCATGGATTACTTTTGGAGAAAAGCTAATGAAAACATAATGTAGAGGATTTCATACAAGTATCATGCTATTACAGTATTGTGTATCTCATGAGGTCTGCAAGGCTGGCCCAGAAGAAAATACGTGAAGAATAACACCAACTAGATGCATCCGAGCTTCCTTGGCACACTCTGGGAAAACAGAAGGTGCAGACTCCAGCCAACTTGTCTCAGCTAGGTGAGTCCTGGATAAACAGAAGGTTCAGTTTGCAGCCAACCTCCCTCAACTCAAGTAATCTTTAAATGCTGGGTGGGGAGCAGTGCCAGACACATCACTAACGTCAGAAAAATCCATTCTAGAAATAAATCTACCAAGGAGATACTGACCAAGAGATATTGTCTGCCTGGTCTTGTATATCACATGATGTTCAGGGCTTAGGATGTGTGTCTTTTGGGGCTTGATCTTGCACAGGGCCAGAAAGAGGCTAATGATTTCCATGCTATATGCCAACAGAAGCTTGCAGGGAGATCCAATTTTCAGGTGGCTTATGTGCCACCTGTACTGAAACCTATGGGTCCATAAATACACATCCTTCGAAGCTCAAGGACACATAGGGAAACTGGTCTTAACACAAAGAACACGTTAAGGATTCAGGATCAGTCACGTATACCAAACGTAGATGATCAGGAACACCAACATGCCAAACTGTTTCAGTGCATGAATGAGTCCCAGTAGAGGCTCTGATATGTGGATGCACTGTTATGGGCAGCAACACGTAATGAATTTCCAACACCAAAGTGTGGTAACCCAGTGCTTTGACAGTTACAGAAAGGTCATGCTAGGCAAAACATGAATTCACCTAAAAACATGGTGATGCCTGCAATGGTGAACACAGTGATGTACACAAAAGCTTTACCTGTATTGCTAATTACATACAAACCAGAGACAACTTTCTGGTCTTGAAGCCAAATGGCACAGGATGACCTGGATCCATGTTGCTAAACGCTCTCACCCAGGAAACCAAATTGGTTGTATCCACACTCCCCCATGGTAACAGATGTTGTTATGCTTCTAAATGTGCTCTGGAATTGCTTGGCACGATGCTTTTTGCTAGGGGTCCAAACTGTGCCAGAAATGCCTTAAAAGCCAAGCAGTATGGACTGCAGCGGGAGAGCATGTGAACTCTTGCACTGGTACAGGTTTATTCTACTACAGTCACAGCCTATGCAGGTTGACACAGTGGGAAATTAGTGGAAGAAAGGACCAAGAAGTTGGTCAAGACACTGATGCATTTAAAAACTAAGGTGTTACTAAACCTCTAGAGCATATCCATTTCCATGTGGTTATCTCCATTTCAGATGGAAAAACCTCTTCTCAATCCATGCCAGTAGGGCAATATCCCAGCTGACTTCCCTTGATGCTAGCTGATGTTTGCTACCACTCAGAGTAGACAGAAATATTATTGAGCAGCTTCCCTTTATTTTCCTTCAATTCTTCTTTTGGGAACCCTGACGGACCATCTGATGTTGAAGAGACCAGAGAGCACTGCACACCTGGTTCTCTTTTCCTCAGCATTACTGACAAAGAGCCAGATGCAGAGTGATGGAAGCATGAGCAAATGGAAAAACAGCTGTAGGTTAAAGACAGTTCAGGGTACAAGAGAGTTCAAGGAGCACCAGTGATGTTTCTTGAGCTTCCAGATGATTGTTCTGATTTGTTTTGCAGAAGAAGGTCTCAGCTGTAACGTGCTAACACATGACAGCCCTAGCAAATTCAACCAACTACTCAGAACATGGCTATGAATAGTCATAATCAATGCCTTAAAACATGCTCTAGCATACCTGAAGATCAGTGTTCAGCAGACAAGACTTTTACAAAGGTAATCTTTTAGGATATTCTATATATAAGATTAGGTTGTCAATTACAGTCTTATTCACCTGATAAGGTGGGAAGTAAGTTAGCCATCTTTCAATATGGATAGCATACCATCCAGGTGCTAGGCATCTCTTTTGGAGAGCTCGCAGCTCTGATGGGGCTCGAGGTCCAGCTGTGATCACCTGATAGAAGCTGAATTTGAGAGCTGCAGGATCTTCATGTGATCGCTGATGCTGCAAAAGAAGTTACATTGCTGGAACTTTACAGACCATGAAAGTTGGGAAAATAAGACTAAGCTGGTTGGTGTTACTGACCTGGCCTTGCTGACCTTGCCACGAGTGATTGTTTACACTAAAAGTTACTACAGTTAAGAAGTCCTCATCTCTATTAATTTGTTGAAAACACTGGCATAAATGATTGTTTGTATCAAAAATACTGTTTGTAGCAAAAGAAATCAGAAGAGACTGATGCTAGCAATAACAAAATGGAACGTATAAATGTTTATTTCCAATAAACTGAGTGGCAGGTTTTGTACAAATGACTCGGGCATATGAACACAAATACTAAGAAGCTCTGTTTCTAGTAGTTTCCTTTTTCCAGCTTACACAAGGTAAATATTCAGAAAGGCAAATTTGAATGCTGGTATTTATGAGGATTGTTGGATAATTCAGGTCAGAAGGGATCTCAGCAGGATTCTAGCCAAGCCTCCTGTCCAAAGCAGGTAGGCTATGGGATCAGATGCAGGGCTGAGATTACACAAAATATGTCACAGAATTTCAAAGGGCTGTGTTTCCTATGGAATTTTACATTTTTTTTTTTTAATTTATTTTTAGTATCTTTATTTTGGCAAATTCCAGTTGAAATCTGTGGACCAGAAAACCAAAAATTTCTTAATCTATCTTGTATTTTAACCATCAACTAGATAACTAGGTCTAAAACAAAATTTTGTATGTGCTGGTTACATAAATTAATTGAGTAAGTAAGCATTTTTACATGCTTATATTACAGGCAGACTTTTGAAAGGTAGTTTCTGGTATTTTAATCTTTGAAAGACTTTCAGGTTTACACTGCCAGATACCTCAGCCCTTGGGTGACCATATATGGTACACCGACGGACAAATAAAAGCTTGTATTATCCAAACCCTTTACATACATACATACTGAAAGGATATAGAGAAAAGGATATTCAAGGTGGAAACCTTGATTTGTGCCTGCCCGTGTTCTTCAAAGTGCATACCTGATACCAGGAATACGCCCGATCGGATGGGGCGATGAGGGTGGGGGGGAGAGGGAAGCAGCTCGCTTAGGGGCTTCCTCAGAATGGAAATAGTTAGCACTTTTCTCAAAGAGGAAGTCAGTTGTGACATTAGAAGGAGTGGGGAAGAAATCCATGTACCTAGGAAAGCAACAGCATCATCAGAGTTACTTAAAAGTCACACAAAGATTGAAAAATCTGTTAGGTATATTTTATTCTACAACAATCAATTAAATAAAAGCCTAATTGCCAAATAAAAGCAAACAGAAGTTTACACAACGTTTTTGATCATATTTGACTTGGTACTAGTTTTCTTCTTCTCACTACACATGATTAGACTTTGCAACTATTTTTTGGTAACAGGGTAAAAATGTTACAATATCCACGCATCTTCTTAACACTAGTGAACTCTCACTTTCTAGTCAGAACAAACTCCTGTCAAAGTCAGAAGTAGAAGATGAGTTCTCTGCACCTCGCCCTTTGCTGACATCAGTTGAAGTGCGATGCCGTAAGAAGGAAGATACTCAGTATCAGAACTGGTTTTACTCAAAAGAGAAAATAGCTCGTTTATGTGGGGAAGATGCACTGAACCCCCACCCCCCTGGCTTCATCAGGTAAAAGGTTTCTAAGCAGTAACTGCATTTTTCATTTATTTTTCTGAGAGTCACATTTTTGTGGAAACATGAATTGTATTCCTTTTAGTTTTCTTCCTGAGCTTTCCTGATCCATTATGAAGTTGCAGTTAATTTCCAGCAATCTCCTATGTCACATACAGACTTCTTTATCCACAGCCCTTGGACCACTTCTCATTATTGTTGGGGAAAAGAATAAATAGAAAATGTTGGTCTTGACTTTTCAGTTAACCTCTGTACTGATAAAATAAATGCCATTTAAAACAACCTGTGCTGAAGATCATGCTTAAGGACTGAAATTTCTTCCAGTGTTCAGACTTCATTCTATTCATAGAAGCGAACGACTTCAGATACAAATGACATGCTCTTGCTGGCTTTGAAATTGTGACCATTGCAGCCAAGGACAAAGACTTGGTAGGGTGGAACAGGCTGATGCATGCGCTGTTTTCTTTCAGACACAGATCTCACAAGATGATCATAAGCACACCGGCACTGACTACAAGGTACTTAGAGACAAGGAAGGAATCTACAGCGGTTTTAAGAAACTGAACTCTGTGACACCTGACCCTGAGAAGACAGCTCTTACAAGCGACTTTTAGGTATACATAAGCAAGCATTTTCAATTTATTGTTTTAAGCTTCTTCGGCACATGAATGGATAGCTGTCATCAGAAATGTGCAAGTGAAGCAGGCTGGCCTTCAAATGGCCATTTTCTACGCACAGATGGTTATGGATTCATTCGAGGTCTGAGGACCTGCAGCTGGTGGATGAACACGTATCAGAGACCCAAATGATGCCACGTGAAGCAGAGACGGATGGGCAGGTCCCTGCATAATATGCTCAAAGTTGCACTCAAAACTACTTCTACAACACTACACAGCTATTGCTAGTCTCACAGGCAGACCATATGTAAGAAAGCTGGAACACAGCGACAATCAAACTGAACAAAAGTCTGTTTCTGCCCTGCTGGTTTATTGTTTATATCTGCCTAATGCTAATGCAAATACCAGAGAAGATGGTACTATTTCACTGAGTAAACAATGGACTCTATTTCCCAAAAATATTAGGGCTGATTTGATGAAAACGAGGAAGCTATAACAATTTCTGCTAATGACCCAACCTGACTGCGTGACCTCAGAATGTTTTACCAGAACATCAACATCAAAGAAAAAGGGCAGCTTGGAAAGACACAATAGACACTAAAGGCACATCTGCTCTAGAGCATGTAAGGTGTGAGTATGCTGTTGTGCTGAAGTCCTGGGAGTAGACCAAGTAAGTACAAGGCAGTGAGGACTCCAACAGTTAACATGAAATATAGCACTACAACAAATTTTGGGAAAAAGCAAATTGATAACATGGCAAATTTGAAAAAAAGTAGTTTGTGTGGTGTCAGTGAAAAATGACAAAGATATCTTGATATCCGGTGGGATATCAAGAAGTTACAATGTCTAGGTGCAGCATTTCTGCTGAAGACAGACTGCAGCTTAGCACCTAATTCACAAGACAATTGTTAAACTCCACAAGGGCAGAGCTGAGAAGGCTTTAGAAAAACTTGTCAAAGAAATCCGTAACAATGCTTACATAAAGAAATGTGACTAGTCTGTTTAGACTTCATTTCAAGAACAGAAATACCAGTTTTCATCTTACTGTTCTGTTATCTGTACTGGAAGTCTACAATATACATCTATACCTCTTTCAAGATGGCAGTATTGAGATTGCCAATGGCTGAAAGAACCCTTTCCAGCTTCTGTAGTTAGCCTTGGTCTAAATGTAAGCCTGGACAAAGACTAAGTCAGAGTCAGCTCTGGGAAAGAGCTTTATCTCTGTAACCACAAAATAAATTGAATTCATTATTTGTGAATATTATTGCCTTGAAAGAATCCTAGGAAATTAATGGACTAATGAGGAGAGACCTTGTACCTAATTACCATTTGGTGAGCTCATTACATGCCAGCATTAAAACACACTATCAGACTGAAGGTCTGAGAGAGCTGTCTGGCAGACAGAATGTAAATCGAAGAGTGAAGCAACTATACCAACGGGAAGTTCCAAGTATCCAAGACTTAACTGTGAGAACCCAGCAGGGGAGAGTGGGGCAGGTAGCACAGAGGTAGAAATAGCCAAATGGGTGCTGTAGAGGGAGAACCTGTCAAAAGGATCTACCTGCTCTGTGTAAGTTGACCACTGGGAACTTTCTGAACAGTGCTGTGTTAAGATAAATGTAATCAGGCACCTGTCTAGCAGACAAATTGTATCTGCATGTTGGGGAAGCAGATGCAGCAGGAGGAATGAGAGAAGCAGCAAAGTGGTATTCTAGCAACATGAAAACACTGATTTTGTGGAAGAACTGGCTCACTGTTCCTCAGCTGTCTCCATCAGCGTGCACCTGATGTACCTCACTTGCATATCACCTCCTCTGACTTCAGAAGTCTCCACAGCAAGGAGTCAGCTGTCTAATTTCCAGTGATTCAGCCAGCATCTTTTGATGGGTAATAACTGGCTGACTCACCGCACTTTGCAACAACAATCTCCTGCAACAATTGTAACTCTGTAAAAACTTAGTGACTTAAAAAGAAATTGGATTTGACATATCTGCACTAAGACCATGTAGCAGTGTTCACCCTGTTAATTTTATGGATGAATAAAGTCAAATGCAAGAAAATTATTTTCCTTTAAACTGTGGGAAGAAAAGAAACAAGACAAAATATCAATAATGTTTTACTGGTGCTCCCCAGCCACTACAGCGTGTTACCACTTTTCATCCTGTAGGGCTTTATACTGCAGCACTTCCTGAAAGCAAGGGAAATCAAGAATGACCTTCCGGGTGTAGCTGTGGAGTCCCTGGTAGCCGCAGTGGGCATGGCAACAGTGATACGTACCTTTTTAGCACCACTTGCTAACCCCACAGACACCAACATTCTCCTAATTGCCTGAACTTTGAAAAACATTTTGAGAGGCTTTTCCTTTCCCCCTTCTACCTGACAGCTATTTCTAAATCCTATTTAAAGGAAAAAATGTCTCTCCTTGATAGTATCCTTTTTTTCCTCTTAATAAGTAAGTTTTTCAACAGGAACATAATTCTTGCCTCCATATATCCAACTAACAACTATTACTGTCCCAACTTCAAAGGCATGTGTAATGAGAAATACATTATTTGTTTTCTGTTTTGCATATATTAATATATGGAAATTTACAAGAAAGCCTCACAAAAGTTAGTGCATTTATGATATTCCATAGTAAGACTGTTATTCATTTGCATTAATTCACCATTTTAGAAGGAGACTGAAGGTTATTTTATATCTCACTCTCTAGATAAACAGTTACCATTACCAACATTAATGCCATTTTTGTATTGTTCACAATATATAAACTTTTATATTTATACTAATAACCCATCTTACCAATCAATCCCCCTGTGGTAGTTATTTCTATTAAAGAACTGTACCTCCTCAAAGGTTTTTGGGCTGGGGGAGTTACTAATGATGGAAGGATGCATGATCAGGAACAAATACAAGGCTGTGGTACCTGCAAATAGGATAAAAGGCCAAGATTAAAAATAAAAAAACCACACACAATTTTTTAGGGGGGTCATACCCACAAATGGACTAAACCCAGCTTTATTCCATTTCATTTCAGTGAAGGGATGCTGGTCACCTAAGAATCTGTGCTTTCTCAGCTTTTAAATTGAAGACATTTAAAGAACTGTAAATAGTTAACACAGAAACTGGAGTGCTAGTGCTGAAATCTCTTTCCCACACTTTTAATAACTGTATTTTAAAAATAATTATTGGTTTTTATGAGACGTTCACAAAAATAACTTTAAAATCTTGCACTCAGTAGCTACTGTGGATTGGTGAAGATGAAAGGAAGCACATATGCAATTTTCTGATTAGAAGGAAGAAAATTAACCATTAAGCTAATTTATAAACTACTGCAATCTTGCAATTCAAACTGTCCATTAGGAACTTCTTGACTTGAAATAAGTGTCATGAAATAACAAACTTCTATAAACGAGACACTTGCAGGAAACCAAGAACTTGCAGTTAAGAATCTACACCATTTGAAAAAAATCTTGTTCATCATCTCTTTATCAAAGTGTTACTCATTTTGACACAAGGCCAATAAAATCTGACACACACCTGAATCTGCATTTTCAATGTGTGTACTGTCTGTTGTTGTAACTTACATTATTAAACTATATTTGGATGATATCTGAAAATAAAAAAAATGCTATTAGATGATCAAGATCTCTGTATAACAGTCTGAGTAAAAAGTGATTAATCGGTGTAATTACTTGGACTTGCACATAGCCTATCTCACTGAAACACAGTAAAATCTCACCAGTTTTCTGGGGTCCTACCACCAAGAACTTTGGTAATCGATCGCAGGTTTTTTCTTTAGACCAGATATCTCTGTGCCGTTTGTCATCACACGGGTTCTAAAACGCAGAAAAACAACTAAGAATTTCATTGGTAATCACACCTGATACGGTTCTTAAGTTTATATAAATTAGCAATTTTTCAACAGTGTACAAATATTCTTACCAGAAAGTATTATTTTCCCTTATGACAGAAAACCATGTTATATATTAAAGAACTATTTCAGCGATTCTGAAAGATATTCACACTGTAACCAGGCCAGAAACTGTCTCTTTTCAGTGTTTTGAAGAAAGGGGGTTGTCATTCTAACTCATTCCCACACGTACGTAGGTGGTCCAGGTACCCAACAGACTCTGGGACAAGATCATTTCTCCTGTGAAATGTCAGTATATTCAGCGGAATTATGCCAAAGACAAATTTGGAAATCATTCAATTGATCAATTACATACAAATTAGAAAGACTTAAAATTGCTGAAGAGTTCTCTAATTAATGATTGTTTCTTTTACATTACTGTAACAGCTATCACTGTATATATGCTATAGTTTTTAAACTAAAATAGTAAATTAATTGTAATTTAAGGGTTGCCATTCAGAAATACATATTCTGATCCTCCAGTTCAAGTCAGTACGTAATACTGAATCCTGTTTTTTCACATGCTGCTTTACAACTGAAGCAGTTGAAATTTGTTTTAGAATTGCTACTTGCAAACAGTTTTTGACACTGTTGTTTGGCAGTACTGCACTGAGACAACGGGAACTACCAATCTTCTAGGCTTAAAAAAAATGTAACTATTCAGATTCACGTGCATTATAGAGAAAAGAGACCACACTCAGTATTATGTTAGTCACGGTTACTTACAAATTTCTTTTCTAAGTTGTTCTACTTTTTCAAGTCATTTGGCTACAGGCTAATTTCAATTTTTAAAATTAATTCTTCCTTAACATTATGCAAAATTCTTGACATTTTCCCCCTAGTTCAATGTTTTATTCAATAACAGCATGAATTTCAAGAAGTATATTTAAGTCCAAATCTCACACTCGGATTCCAAGTTGGCAATTCAATATCCAATGCTAGAAAACATTTGAGCAAGCAAGCTTATATATATTTTTATGTTTGATTTAGTAAAGCTTGCTCCTTAGAATATTTCAATCAAGTCACTTCAAACGGATGATATCTGGGATACATACTATCACTGCAGGGACACATGTACCTACACAGACATTCCACTGAATTGGCTGCACTGTCGCTGAGCGTGTGCAAAATGAACATGACAGCGTTCACACCTTGGTGCAGGAGTTCCTCTTTAGGGCCTGTGCTCTTAGCGCTGCATGATGGGCTGGAGAGGTGTCAACTGCACAGTCAGTGCAGGCTTCAGCCGTAGCAGGTCTTCACATTCCTGGTATTTGCAATGTGCTCGCTTACGAGAGTGGGATAATCAAGCAGCAGAGTTGGTAACCCCAGTGTATAAGGTGCTGGTAAACTTCTTGCTTGGGCAGGTCTCAGCCGTCTGTGAATAACTTTCTTACCTCTCTAGTCTATTTCTGCTTGGCTAGACAGTTTTAGCATTACGGCAGCCATGGTCTTAATGGTCTTTTCTCTTTTTGGATGCCCTCACACACCAGGAAGAAAGTTCATTTGTTAAATGGCCAACTGCTAAAATATGCATATACATCTCCCTGTTAAATGCTTCATTCCTGTTAGTTCCAAAAGGAGAAGAGAAATAGCACAACATGTGTTTCCTGCACCTCCCACATTTCTAAAAGCAAGTGAAGTCACAAATGAAATGAATTAAAGATGGTCTTAATGACACATACTAGTCTCACAACCTTTCTGTGGAGTTTTAAGTGGCAGGGAAAGCAATCACGACACTGCAGCTTCAGTAAGCTGTTTTATGGAACCAACTAGT